ATCTTAATTGATTGATAATAAAATTGTAACAAAACAGATTTTAGTACAAAAAATTCACAATTTGATATACATATACAATTATTGTATAATTAATTTTTAATCATTGTAAATAGGAATATATCACAATAAATGACGTATCTTTGCTGAATCTACACAAGATACGTAGAATTTATTGTATCTTACCTTTGCCACGGATTTTGAATACACTTATAGTACCATTTACTTCCACGTTAGCTTCTGCGAATAACAGTGGTAATTCTGCGTCAATTTCCAAACGGAAAACGTTGTCATGAAAATGCGGTCTCACGGCAAGAAAACGAATCGTCGATATTCCGATGGCAGTCATATTTAATATAATTATTTTTCCAAGTACGTTGCTTAAATCAACTTTAAGATGAACTGGAAGATGTTCTAAGTATAGTGGATCCAAAGGCGGAAAGTCATATTCTGGCAGTCCTACAAGTAAGTAAATTTTAATATCCACTTTTTAATATAATGTTAATATCCCGTTTTTAATATAACTTAGTTAAAAAAATTTTAATGTATGTATAAACAATAATAAGATGAACTAGATCCCGTAAGTGAATATCACAAATAATTTTAAGAACGCCTTGTATCTACTGTCAAGGCTGAATTTTGGTGCCTAATAATATTTCTATATGAATTCTAAGTTCGTTAGTCAGCTTTTTTAAACTGCGCGCCAAAATTTTAATATATTGTTTACTTTTTTTTTATTTAAACAATTAATAAATGTATAGAAATTTACTTACTATTAATATTGCTTAATATTTTTCCTAACATCATAGTAATCTAACTTTTAGTATAAAGTAACGCATATTTTATTTTAAAGGTATATAAATTGAAATAACAAAAGCTTAAATATATTTTTAATAAGAATACCTGCACAAAATCGTGGCCATGATTCTTGTATAGAGCGTTGTAAACAGTCGGCAAAATCAGCTGAATTCCGCTTGCAAGGGGTAAAAGCTGAGTAAAAATAAAAAGCGAACAAAATAAAGTAAGAATAAAAATATATAAATGCAATAATCGCTTTAACAATAAAATATAATTTAAACCATATCTATTTTTTCAAGTACTTGTACGTTATCATATTTATTTTGTGAACACATAAGATTTTCTGCTATGATAATAATGTTATACATGAAATTTTCGATACTTGATTTGCAAAAAATATAAACTGACATTTACAAATATAAATGATAATATTACTTGCTTAGAAAAATACTTTAAAAAATGAAACAAATGTCTAATAAGATGTAATAACATTAAACCAATTAACGAGTTTTAAGAAGCAGTTATTATAGGAATTTTCGAGCAGTTCAGCAAAATTGATTATAACGACAGTGTACAATTATATGTTAGAATGTTCGTTCACTTGTTTCCCAAAACTTATTTCCTTAAAAACATATCAAATATTTTTTGTTTAAAATTATTTTTATATTATGTTCATTTTATACAAAATCAGTGAATTGTTTATATGATTAAAACATTGATGTGTTGATATTATACGCATGCGGATACGTAATGAAATTATTAAAAAGAATATAATAAAGAAATCTTTAAAAAACTTACGAAGCGCAGCTTTTCCAGTTGAGATTAATCCGAATATTGCAACGTTAAATATACTAACAGCGTAGAACAACATGTTCTTTCTTTGAT